ACTGCAGCGTGCCTGTTGAAAGTGTGTGTGTGTTGGGGGGGGGGGGCTAAACCTTTATGTTTCAATCTTCAATGCCTATATTATGTCTATCTTTGCACCCCCCTCTGGCCCCCCGGTTCCGACGCACATGTACGCGTAAAGCTTGCACCACCAGAGTCGAGTACTGCAGTTAGCAAACCCAAGAATGTGAATGGATTTTAGAAAAAGTTGTGTACAAAATTGATCTAGAATTTCTGTACTTTTTTATTTGTTCATTCATTGTTATTGTACAAAGTTACGCGGATCTTTGTGTCACCTGCAGGGCAGATCGACAGCTGTGGACACGGGAGATTCGAACCTAGACTAGAGCAACAACAAATAAGAAGTGGTAGGGGGCGGGGGCAGACGCTATATAAACAAGAAATGTTTCTTAAAAGTACATGTGATAACGTAATACCAACTTTACATGGGATCCATGTTACAAGACTAAAGTTTTGAACATTATCCAGTATATAAATCTAATCACTGATTCTATAAAATTTTTAAAAAACACGAATTAGTGATTTGTTATATAAATTGATAATTTGTTTAAACAAATTGATACTTTGTTATATACGCATTCTCAAATTTATTTTAGTCTCAATTATTATTATTATTATTATTATTATTATTATTCTTATGAAAATTTATTCAGGTATTAAATAAAGAGTCATAATTCATTACAAATCATAACACAAATTACATTCAAAAATTAATTAGGGATTATATCGAAAATACATGAATTCATTTGAAAAGTGCTAGAATTAAATAAACTAATACATGTAGCTATCACAAACTAAAACAATATCACTCCAGGTATTATCACAGTTATCATTATCATAGGATTATACAGATCTCAGAATTTTCTTCTCTGATCTTATCACATACAACACAAATAAACATATTTTTAATCAATCTTTGCTCTACTTAAATATACTGAAAATGGATTTATTGTTAGGATAACCCATGAAAGCAATATATAAAACATGCTTATTTCCAATGGGGTCGCTTTAAATAATGTACCGTGTTTTAAGTAATATAATATTTCTAATAAATTTTATTTTCTGCCAGTCATAAATAATGAACTTGTCAGAAATATTACATTATTTCCTTCAAAAAATATGTATAGGATTTGAGAGAGTAACAAAAAAGGTATTACAAGACTAAACTGCACTTTAACAGTGTGTGTTTTAGAACAAATATTAATGCCTATAGATTTATCTTTGAGAGAGAGGAAAGGATTTTAAATAAGTGGATTCTAGAATAAATAGATTAATGGGGAAAATATTATTTAATTCCCTAAAAAATCTTTTTTATTTTTTCAAATATTGGTTAAAAATTCTTATTATTTTAAAGAGCAAATATACCTGTCCTAACCTCTATGGGTATTCTTTAATCATTGTTTATACAGTAATATTGTATGTTTTCATAGTTCATTGTTTGTTGACACAAAAATTCTACCTTTCCCCACATGAAATCTTACCTTTTCTACCTGATTTTCAAATAGTGGGAATAGCTAGGTAGAATGAACCGAACCATTGTTGGTTATTGATTAAATTACAACAATTGTTTGTTGTTACTTGAATGATTGTCTTAGGCGAAAATCGCATTTTATAGCAGAAATCGATATTTACGTTACTGTCGCCGATCATAGTGTAGTTTTTATTTTGAACCAAAAAAAAGTTTTAAATCACTTACATATCTTTTTCTTAGTAAGAATGTCCTACATTTGAGATATATTTTCTGAATATCGGAGGGGGGGTCAAAATTTTTTTTGCAAAAAGCCCCGTCTTCCCTGAACTCCTCCTACATTTTATAATTACACAGTAGCCTAATCATATTTTGGGAGATGGTTAGTGGTATCATGTAGATGTGCAGTAACGTTTCGGAATTTTGATTTTGTCCTGGGGGGTCAAATGGGGGTCGAAAAATGACGTTTTTTATGCAAAAAGCTCTGTCTTCCCTTTACTCCTCCTTAATTTTACTCAGAAGCCTAATCATCTTTTAGGAGAGATAAATATTTTGAAAATTAGGTAAAACATCAACGTCAAGGGGTAAAAAAAGCATCGCATGCTGGGAAACATCTTGAATTCTTATGAGTACTTAATGTACATGTCAAATGTGAGAGTCATATCTCTTCTCAATTAAAAGTTATAAGCAAATGCAACATTTTTGAAAGGTAGGTTAGGCTTCAAGGTCACAGTCAAAATTCATAATTTACCCATTATTTGGAAAGGTCTTATCACAGGTAATAATATACATGCATGTATAATAATGAATGCCCTAACTTTTCTCTTTCAAAATGATGAATTTAAAAAATTTAATTTTTTTGCAAGTAGTTCAAACTTCTAGGTCACATGTAAAAAAAAATCATGCCATTCTCACAGGTAAATACTAATACATAAGTTCAATATGAATGCCTTGTCTCTTCTCATTCAATATATATGACCGTGATGACCAAGGATAAATTTATTGAGACAGATGGACAGACTGACATACAAATGTACATATTTCTATGTGAATTTGGTAAAATTGGCCCAGTGGTTCTAGAGAAGTTAAAAATGTAAAAAGATTTCAGATGAACAGATGGACAACAGACATTATATGATAAGGAATCCAGACAAGAGGCCCATGGGCCACATCGCTCACCTGAGTAACTTGGGTGATGCAGATCTTTTTTAAAGATTTGTTCTATATATATTTCTATGTAAAACTTGGATTCCTTATTGTGGCCCCGCCCTACCCCTGGGGGTCATGATTTAAATAATTTAATATCTACACTACCCAAGGATGCTTCCACATAAGTTTCAGCTTTCCTGGTCCAGTGGTTCTTGAGAAGAAGATTTTTAAAGATTTGTTCTATATATTTCTATGTAAAACTTGGATTCCCTATTGTGGCTCCACCCTACCCCCGGGGGTCATGGTTTTAACTATTTAATATCTACACTACCCAAGGATGCTTCCATATAAGTTTCAGCTTTCCTGGCCCAGTGGTTCTTGAGAAGAAGATTTTTAAAGATTTGTTCTATATATTTCTATGTAAAACTTGGATTCCCTATTGTGGCCCCGCCCTACCCCCGGGGGTCATGGTTTTAACAATTTAATATCTACACTACCCAAGGATGCTCCCACATAAGTTTCAGCTTTCCTGGCCCAGTGGTTCTTAAGAAGAAGATTTTTAAAGATTTGTTCTATATATTTCTATGTAAAACTTGGATTCCCTATTGTGGCCCCGCCCTACCCCCGGGGGTCATGATATTAACAATTTAATATCTACACTACCCCAGGATGCTTTCATATAAGTTTCAGCTTTCCTGGTCCAATGGTTCTTGAGAAGAAGATTTTTTAATGACCCCACCCTATTTTTGTATTTTCTTGATTATCTCCTCTTGGAAGGGGTCTTGGCCCTTGATTTTAACAATTTAAATTCCCCTTTACCCAAGGATGCTTTGTACAAAGTTTGGTTAAACTTGGCCCAGTGGTTCTTGAGAAGAAGTTGAAAATGTGAAAAGTTTACAGACGGACGGACCGACGGACAGACAGACGACGGGTGATCAGAAATGCTCACTTGAGCTTTCAGCTCAGGTGAGCTAAAAAGCTGATATGAGTGTTTTGAAAGGGTTATAATGGTTCCAGTATTTGAAAAGCTGGAATATTTTTTTCATGCAGAGATATGACCAACATATTCATGTTTTATATTTTCTCTTTAGTAATTTCTTTGTTTGTTGTGAAAACATCTTTCTCGGGAATTTTTCCCTCATATGGAGACACCACCACCAAATAATAATGAAGACAACGTCCCACAGTGGGATTCGACCCCGCAACGTGAGGATTGACTTCTTACTTCGCGACTCTAGAGCAGACGCTCTAACCACTGCGCCACGCGGGCGACTGCTCAGCTATATGTGTTTTTAGGCTAGAAAATACATGAAATATAGAAATGTAGCATCACCATCCCATCAACATTTTCCCTGACAAGTTACTTCAAATTAGAAATCAATTTGTTTTTCTTTAATATTTACAATCAATAAATCAAGAATAAACAGTAATCATGGGTAATTGCAAGGATATTCTTTTTATTAATAATTTTTTTTTTTTGCATGCAGGCTGGTCAAAGTTGTAGTTCACTTGCCCAAAGGAAATTGAGTGATTCTTAAAGTAAATGTCTATCCCTGGTCAGATAAAGCATCCGAAGCAAGTCTAGTTGTGTCCATCCCTAGACGCATCATCCATGCAAGTTTGGTTCAGGCAGGGCTTATAGTTACTTGGAAATGAAAATATAGGTCAAATCCAGCATCCGAAGCAAGTCTGGTAGTATCCATCCTTAGATGCATCATCCATGCAAGTTTGGGCCAAGTAGGGCTTATAGTTCCTTAGGAATGGACCTGCTTTAAAAACTTGAACCTGGTCACTCATCTGGAAAATGTAGGTCAGATCCAGCATCTGAAGCAAGTCTGGTAGTGTTCATCCTGAGATGCATTATCCATGCAAGTTTGTATCAACATGTGAAGTTTGACAACACCATCTTGAATGGTATGTTTAAAACTGAGCTAAACACTAATTTAAGAAAAGTGAGGTCAAGGTCAAAGGAAAGGTCAAGGTCAAAAAATGTTGATGCAGTGGCATAGCTCTTATCAATATCTATCACCATATGAAGTTTGATGAAAATATCTTGGATAGTTTCTTTGAAACTTAGTTTTGAACAGAGCTAAACACAAACCGGGAAAGTGTGATGGAAGGACGGAAGACGGACATGACAAACAGTATATGCCCCGGCCATATTCATGGCAGGGCATAAAAACTTCATATAAAAGTTAAAACATATTTCTGACCTGATGATTCTGCAAAATATTATTCATCCGAATGCTCTGTGATAAATAAATCATGGTCTTTAAACGTTTTAAGTATAGTAACCTTTGTCATCTTCACTTTTCTTTTCTCATTTAAAGTACATGTATATATATATTAACAAATGCATATGATTTTAAAAGTTGTTAATTTTTAATTTTGAGACATTAAAAAAATCACAATTCACATCTAAAGATTGTACAAGACAAGCACTTTTCCCCAAGCAACAAAGAATCCCATAAGAAACAGAAAGTTGACATAAAAATCTAGAAAGTAACTTTTGTGTGCACTTTCTTGAAAGCTCTTGAGATTCTCCAGGAGTTTGCATCCTTGTACTTGTTGTACAGGATGGCTCAATCTTCTGCTTTTTTTTCTGCTTGCTGAGTTTTGTTGGGTCACTGAAGCGGAAAAATTTGGGTGCGAACTCCACGAGCCACTTGGGATCAATGGCTGTCACCTCTCTCATGTATTCTTTTGTTGTCAGCACAAGTTCATGGTAAATAACCCTGTAAAATTTTAGTAATACATAAAGAGTTTATTTGATGTCAGCTCTGCACAATTAAGAATTCTACAAATTTTAAAACAGCTTTAAATAGGGGAGAAAACATGCCTTTCTCCAAAGTTATTTCTTAATTCACTAACTCTTTGGGATTTCATATCCTCTACTAATTTTGATTTTGCAAATAACTTGTAACAAGAGGCCCATGGGCCACATCGCTCACCCGAGCATTGTGGCTAGGAAAAAGTAGAAATTGTTTTACTATTGAAAGGTTTAAATCCAAAAGTTTTGCCCCGCCCTATCCCCGGGGGTCATGATTTGAACAAACTTGAATCTACACTACCTGAGGATGCATCCATATAAATATGAGCAATTATGGCTTTACTATTCTTAAGAAGATTTTTAAAGAATTTTCCTATATATTTCTATATAAAACTTTAGTCAGTCATTGTGGCCACGCCCTACCCCTGGGGGTCATGATTTGAACAAACTTGAATCTACGCTACCTGGGGATGCTTCCATATAAATATGAGCAATTATGGCTTTGCTGTTCTTGAGAAGAAGATTTTTAAAGAATTTTCGTATATATATATATTTCTATATAAAACTTTATTGTGGCCCTGCCCTACCTCCAGGGGTCATGATTTGAACAAACTTGAATCTACACTACCTGGGGATGTTTCCCCATAAGTTTCATCTTTCCTGGCACAGTGGTTCTTGAGAAGAAGATTTTTTTAAACATAAACCTAATTTTCACTAATTCTCAATTATCTCCCCTTGAATGAGGGCGTGGCCCTTTATTTGAACAAACTTGAATTCCCTTCACTCAAGGATGCTTTGTGGCAAGTTTGGTTGAAATTGGCCAAGCGGTTCTTGAGAAGAAGTTGAAAATTTGAAAAGTTTACAGACAGACGGACAGACAGACAGACAGGACAAAATGTGATCAGAAAAGCTCACTTGAGCCTTCGGCTCGGGTGAGCTAAAAATTAAAACCAATCAAAACATGAAGTGGAATTGCACATAACAATATTTGAATGTTTCATTGTCTGTTAACAGGGGCATGTGAGGGGTGTACACAGTACCTCAGCTGTAGAACAACTTACCAGTCTGGTTGTCTGTTGTCAAGGGTCTACACACACCTGAGGCCGGTACTACACACATTACCTCTGTAGAACAACTTACCAGTCTGGTTGTCTGTTGTCAAGGGCACCTGAGGGGTACTACACACATTACCTCTGTAGTTGTCTGGTTGTCTGTTAAAGAGGGCACTAGAGGAGTCTACACACATTACCTCTGTAGAACAACTTACCAGTCTGGTTGCCTGTTAAAGAGGGCACTAGAGGAGTCTACACACATTACCTCTGTAGAACAACTTACCAGTCTGGTTGCCTGTTAAAGAGGGCACTAGAGGAGTCTACACACATTACCTCTGTAGAACAACTTACCAGTCTGGTTGTCTGTTAAAGAGGGCACTAGAGGAGTCTACACACATTACCTCTGTAGAACAACTTACCAGTCTGGTTGTCTGTTGTCAAGGGCACCTGAGGGGTACTACACACATTACCTCTGTAGTTGTCTGGTTGCCTGTTAAAGAGGGCACTAGAGGAGTCTACACACATTACCTCTGTAGGACAACTTACCAGTCTGGTTGCCTGTTAAAGAGGGCACTAAAGGGGTGTATTTAGACCAACTGACTGTCTATCAGTGTACGATATCCCTCCTGGGGATCTTTCTTCGCTGCGTTACGGAAAAATCCGCTGCAGATGGCCTTCTGAACCCGAGCCGTATTGTTACCACAACTGACAACGTCTAACTTATGTCTGTAAAATAAAGCAGAAAAAAATAAAGTAAAACGTAATCAAATGTTAAATGTGACATTAATCTAACGATACAAATTAACGATAATTTAACAGGGACATGAACTTGGTGTATTTTTGAAACATATCTTATGTACTAGAATATCAATAAACAAGGTAAAAAATAAGGCAAAAATGAGCCTTTCCCCCTTCTCAAAGCACCAATGATTAGTCTGTTATTAAAGGTACATGTACATGTAATATTATACATAGATCTACATGAATCATCTAAAAATTTACAATCGCACTCTACCTGAAGAAAAATGTGTATAAGAGAACATGCCTCATTTCAATTAAAACTTAGAAACTTCAAAATTCAATTTAATTTCATAATAATATCTTCAGCCTGAATATTGTACTCTTACATGTATATTAAACCAATATTAGACCTCTGGCAGTTTTCTTGACTTTCTCTTTCTCATGTGTATTTCTTGCCCTTCATTCTGTGTTCCAATAAATTTATTCATTTTCTATTTAATTTTAAGGCAAAGTGATGAATAAACAGTGAAATAATTCCCATTGTCTTCAGATCCCATTGGATAGCAAGAAGAGTACTGTAAATCACCTAATTTTTGCGACATCTTATTTTCGCAATATTGTCATTTATTCTTTATTAACGAGGCATAATTTTCATGAATTGTTGTTACTTCTACTTCTCAATAATATCTTAAGGTATACAAACTATTATGTGCAAGAATGAAATTTTTCGAGATCATTGTCACGCGTAATTCTGCGAAAATAAAGTTTTTGCGAATAAAAAGTGATTTACAGTATTTAATCTGTAACCTACCTGTCCATGATGCCCAGCATCTGTTTGCGGACATCCTGGGCTCTCTTAAGGATGCGGATCTGTACAAAGTTTTCGTAGCACCACCGGCTGGAGAACTTGTTGTTCTTCCACGAGTTGTACACCGCCAGTAGAGTCAGGTGGTCTCCCTCGGACTGGTGGAACTTGGCTTTCTTCTGGTCCGCCAAGTCCTGCTTGTCCTGAAAACACATTAACAAGTTAGAATATTTAACATTCTTTACAAAAGAAAATGTATTTAAAACTTAAAAGACACATGTTCTTCTCTTCTGAATTTTAGACACAATATTTTATATTAGGCAAAGATTGGCACATGTCGTTCTTAAGAGTATATATTTTCACTATGAACAAGTGTACAAGCTATAGTCACATCAGAGATACATAAATTTTTCTACCATTCTCACCTTACATGAGGCATACATATTGATAAGTAGCAGAATATTCCATAGTCAAATTAAGCATAAGAACATAATCTACCTTTGGTCTATAGAAGACATTCTGGATGGACAACATGGAGACAACAGTCAGAATTTCATCACTACAGGCAAGGTGGACCGACATAATTAACATCTTAGACAACATGGGCTCCAGAGGAAACTCCACCATCTAGAAACATTAGAAGAAATCCTTAATAAATATCATACATATAGCTAAATAGACAACATGGACTCCAGAGGAAACTCCGCCATCTAGGAACATTAGAAGAAATCCTTAATAAATATCATACATATAGAAGAAACTTAATAAATATCATACATATAGCCCATCTAGAAACATTAGAAGAAATCCTTAATAAATATCATACATATAGCTAAATAGACAACATGGACTCCAGAGGAAACTATGCCATCTAGGAACATTAGAAGAAATCCTTAATAAATATCATACATATAGCTAAATAGACAACATGGACTCCAGAGGAAACTCCGCCATTCCAACAAAAAATTGTTTCCCAGTGCATGTTGGATAAGGCAGATTTCATTTTGACGATAAACATCCATGTATATTCATTAATTTTATACTTTGTGATATTACAAAATTTATAGAATTCCACTTGATCCTAGAATTTGTTGCAAAAGGTGCTTTGAGCACTATAATGAAACATGAAAAATTTCACTTTGAATTTTTTACTACTGTGGAATCATCTCCTGTATAAAGATGAGCACAAAATCATTTCCCCCAGGCACCAACAATATTTTGCTTTCCCATAAACATTAACCCCCCTACCAATTAAAGCAATTCCACATTATTCACCCTTCCCCCTCTGTACACGTACCCTTCTTCCAAGCCTTGTCAGAAGACCCTCGTCGTCAAGAGCACCGAGGGCATGAAGCTGCTCCATGGCCGATATCAGGGTCTGCATGGGAGGGGCGTCCATGAAAACAAACGAAAGCAGGTCATTGATCCCCATGGCTTTAAGAGACAGCACGGTACTTGCTAAGTTTGTTCTCTGGATCTCCGGAATGTTTGTCGGTAAACATCTCGCCTCTGTAGGCGCGCTCGGTGTACAATCGGTAACACTTCCCCGGCCCCGTTCGTCCTGCTCGACCCGCTCTCTGCTTGGCTTGAGCCTATAAATTTACATATTTAGATATTAAATGATGTTTATTCATGAAGGTAGAGTCAATAAATTTAGAAATTATATGATGTTTACTTATGAGAGTACATCTAGAATTCTACTTATACATGTAAATACTCGCTATTATAATTCAATAATGGCTTTATATACTGTAAACCAACTATCATTTGTGTGTGAGAAATATCTGCATGTTCCTCCATCTACTTTAACTTGGAAATATCAATCACCGCTAACAAATTATTTTTTTTTGCATAGCTTTTGTAGAGAAATGTTTCCTCAGTCTTGAAAATTAACTGTCACAGATTGATTTCAAACTGACGAAACAAGTAAAAAAGATGACGCAAATAATGGTTGGTTTACAGTATTGGCCATTACAATTCTAAGTCTTTGAAAGTGTACCAAATCAGTTGAATATACAAAAACTTCAGAAAAAAAGATTTCTTTTTAAGATCTTGTCTTTTTTTTCAAGAGAGTGTTTGATAAAAGCATCTTGCTATACCTGTCTTGCTACATGTATACCTGTGAAATAGGCGTGACGATAAGCTGGTCCATGCCTGTCTTAGAGTTGTAGACTTTCTGTTTGACAAATCCAGGATCCACCACATAATAAATACCATCAATAGTCAGGGAAGTCTCAGCAATGTTAGTAGCTATGACAACCTGATTAAAACAAAATCCAAATTTAAAATTGATCTACCAGTAACTCGGGAATAACATTTTGCTTGCCACTCTTTTGTTTAATTATCTGCTGAGAAATGTGGACACTTTAAACCACACAGTTGGTTCACATTGACAAGAATATGATGTACATCATCAAAGTTACATATACTAATTTATCATCAATTTCTATAAAAAAAAACAATCCCAAACTAATTTGGTTTTGAGTGACCCTTTAAACTGATTTCCCCCTCTTACCTTTCTAGATCCCGGGGCAGTGGGTTCAAATATCCTGGTCTGCATTTCACTGGGGAGGGCACTGTACACCAGGAGGATAATGAGTTCTGGGACCTCAGGGCCGAGGGCACTGTACACGGGGAGGATAATGAGTTCTGGGACCTCAGGGCCGAGGGCACTGTATACGGGGAGGATAATGAGTTCTGGGACCTCAGACAGGGCCTTATCAAGTCATTACAGGGTCTCACAGGCAGGATATCTCCAATAAACCAGATACCAAGTCATTACAACAGCAGGATATCTCCAATAAACCAGATACCAAGTCATTACAACAGCAGGATATCTCCTACAAACAGATATCAAGTCATTAAAACAGCAGGATATCTCCTGTAAACAGATATCAAGTCATTTCAACAGCAGGATATCAAGTCATTACAACAGCAGGATATCTCCTACAAACAGATATCAAGTCATTAAAACAGCAGGATATCTCCTGTAAACCAGATATCAAGTCATTAAAACAGCAGGATATCTCCTGAAAACAGATATCAAGTCATTTCAACAGCAGGATATCTCCAATAAACCAGATACCAAGTCATTAAAACAGCAGGATATCTCCTACAAACAGATATCAAGTCATTAAAACAGCAGGATATCTCCTGTAACCCAGATATCAAGTTATAAATAAACAACAGGATAATCCCTTAATAATCTTCATTTGTAAAGATAGAAGTTAAACTAGAAAACTGACCAGTCAGCAAGGGCCCCGTCATGGGGTGGAATTATAAGGATGCAGCTTATGGAATGATTAAAAAATATATGAAGAAATAAGCAACAGCAACTGTATTCTTAAAATTTTCAACATAATTCCAGAATATCCAAAAACCTGTAAATAATATCCTTGTATATTTACATTAGGCACTATTCAGTAAAGAACAACCTAACAATGAATGTATATATAAACAATAATGAAGTTTGTGTTTGTGTTATGCAGCTTTTATAAAATGCCAGTCTTCAATGAATGCATTTAATACATGTATCATGAAGGCTTGACCTTAACTTCAAAACAAACAGCAGTTGCAGACAAAGTTTTTCATTAATCTTAAAATGACGGATAAAGATTGGCCTACTAAATTTTCTTCAGCAGGCTAGATAATTAATCCTGAGGGATTAATTGTACCTCTCTCATCATTTTCTTCTAAAGTTACAATAAGAACTTTTTCAGTATAAATATTAGAATGGATTAATCCAACTACCTTAAAAATTAATATTATTCTTGAATTTACATAAAGGGAAAAAAGTAAAAATAAAAGATATGTCTTCTTTAATCTATTTCTTGTTTTTA